TGAGGTGCTGACCAAATGTTGTTACTTTGTAGCCAATCAATCATCCAAGATGGCCGCCAGAGGGGGACTTAGTTTAACAAAGGATCCTATGGGAAATACATACAAATATCTTCTTTTAGAGAACCACTATATGGAATGAAATAAAATATGACATGAATGTTCCTTATGAGGTGCTGACCAAGTGTTGTAACTTTGTAGGTGATCAATCATCCAAGATGGCCACCATCGGGGACTAGTGTAACATAGGACCCTATGGGGAAATACATAAAAATGTTTTTTTTAGAGAACCACTGAATGGAATGAAACCAAACATGGCATGAATGTTCCTAATGAGGTGTTGACCTAGTGTTGATACTTTGAAGCTGATCAATCATCCAAGATGGCTGCCAGCGGGGACTTAGTTTAACATAGGACCCTATGGGGAATACATACAAATGTTTTCTTTTAGAAAAATACTGAATGGAATGAAACCAAACATGGCATGAATGTTCTTATGAGGTGCTGACCAAGTGTTGTTACTTTGTAGCTGATCCATCACCGAAGATGGCCGCCAGCAGGGGACTTTGTTTAACATAGGACCTTATGGACAATACATACAAATGTCTTCTTTTAGAGAACCACTGTATGGAATGAAATCAAACATGGCATGAATGTTCCTTTTGAGGTGCTAACCCAGTGTTAGTACTTTGAAGCCGATCCATCATCCAAGATGGCCACCAGAGGGGGACTTAGTTTAACAAAGGACACTATGGGAAATACATACAAATATCTTCTTTGAGAGAACCACTATATGGAATGAAATAAAATATGACATGAATGTTCCTTATGAGGTGCTGACCAAGTGTTGTAACTTTGTAGGTGATCAATCATCCAAGATGGCCGCCAGCGGGGACTTAATTTAACATAGGACCCTATGGGGAAATACATACAATTTTTTTCTTTTAGAGAACCACTGAATGGAATGAAACCAAACATGGCATGAATGTTCCTAATGAGGTGCTGGCCAAGTGTTGTTACTTTGTAGCCAATCAATCATCCAAGATGACTGCCAGAGGGGAACTTAGTTTGAAAAGGACCCTATGGAAAATACATACAAATGTCTTCTTTAAGAGAACCACTGAATGGAATGAAACCAAACATGGCATGAATGTTCTTTATGAGGTGCTGACCAAATGTTGTTACTTTGTAGCCAATCAATCATCCAAGATGGCCGCCAGAGGGGGACTTAGTTTAACAAAGGACCCTATGGGAAATACATACAAATATCTTCTTTTAGAGAACCACTATATGGAATGAAATAAAATATGACATGAATGTTCCTTATGAGGTGCTGACCAAGTGTTGTAACTTTGTAGGTGATCAATCATCCAAGATGGCCACCATCGGGGACTAGTGTAACATAGGACCCTATGGGGAAATACATAAAAATGTTTTTTTTAGAGAACCACTGAATGGAATGAAACCAAACATGGCATGAATGTTCCTAATGAGGTGCTGACCAAGTGTTGTTACTTTGTAGCCAATCAATCATCCAAGAGGGCTGCCAGCAGGGAACTTAGTTTAAAAAGGACCTCATGGACAATACATACAAATGTCTTCTTTTAGAGAACCACTGAATGGAATGAAACCAAACATGGCATGAATGTTCTTTATGAGGTGCTAACCAAATGTTGTTACTTTGTAGCCAATCAATCATCCAAGATGGCTGCCAGCGGGGAACTTAGTTTAACAAAGGACCCTATGTTAAATACATACAAAAGTCTTCTTCTGAAGAACCACAGAATGGAATGAAACCAAACATTGCATGAATGTTCCTAATGAGGTGATGACCAAGTGTTGTTACTTTGAAGCAAATCCATTAACTAAGATGGCTGCCAATGGGGGACTTAGTTTAACAAAGGACCCTATGGGAAATATATACAAATGTCTTCTTCTAGAAAACCGCTTTTTGGATTGAAACCAAACATGGTATGAATGTTTTTTTGAGGTGCTGACCAAGTGTTGTTACTTTGTAGCTGATTTGTCATCCAAGATGGCTGCCAGCAGGGGGAGTAAGTTTAACATAGGACCCTATGGGAAATACATACAAATGTTTTCTTCTAGAGAACCACTGAATAGAATGAAACCAAACATGGAATGAATGTTCCTTATGAGGTGCTGATGAAGACCTTAATACATGTATCTTTATAGATTGAGATATACTGTAAACTTCAAAAATATCAAGAAAAGAAGATCTACACATAAGTCAACATGAGCAAAATTGTCAATTGACATCTTGTTGAAGTAATTGTCCTTATAAAGTCATTTTCTACAATTTCAATTAATTTATTGGTAATTTCTGTAAATTTTACTAAAATTCTTCTGCTTTTGATTAAATTACAGGGCCATTAAACCAAATTTGGCCTCAATCATTATTAGGGTATCTGTTATGATTTTAATCTATTTTTACATGATTTCTAAAACCAAAGTAGAATCAGGTGAATGACACAGGCTCTTGAGAGCCTCTAGTTTCTATACGCCCGTTTACGGGACGTATTATGGTATACCTCTGTCCGTCCGTCCGTCTGTCTGTCCGTCCGTCGTCAACATGTCGGACATTAACTCAAAAACGCTTTAACCAATTTGCATAAAACTTTGGTGAATTGTTTATATCTATTGACGTGAGCTCCCTTTTGTTTTTTATAAATTTTAGATTTTACGTTTCCGAGTTATGGGGTTTTATTCATTAAAAAAAAGGGGGATTTTCCAGTTTTCAGACAATAACTCAAGAATGCTTTCACCAACTTGCAAGAAATTGTGGTGAATTGTTTATATCTATTGACATGAGCTCCCTTTCGATTTTTATAAATTTTAGATTTTACGTTTCCAAGTTACAGGGTTTTATTCATAAAAAAGGGGGATTTTCCAGTTTTTGGACAAAAACTCAAAAATGCTTTCAGCAGTTCTTATGAAACTTTGGTGAATTGTGTCTATCTATTGATGTAAGCTCCCTTTAGAATTTTATAAATTTTACATTTTACATTTCTGAGTTATGGGGTTTTATTCATTAAAAAAGGGGGGATTTTCCAGTTCGGACAATAACTCAAAAATGCTGTCAGCAATTCTCATGAAACTTTGGTAAATTGTTTATATCTAAGATGTAAGCTCCCTTTTGATTTTCATAAATTTCTAATATGACATTGAGAATTAATTGAACTTTATTTGTTTATAGTCTGAAAACAGATTTACTAAGTATTGCGCAACAGCACAGTGTATTACACAACAGCAAGAAATCTTTAATTGAATATAAATTCAATTCATATAACCAATTTCAAGTTCTTTGACTAGATTTATTCAGAAACCTATAATATGTCAAATATTTAATAACAATCCAAATTCAGACCTGTATCAAGCTTGAATATTTTGTCCATTTTTGCCCCAACTGTTCAGGGTTGGACCTCTGCGGGCGTATCCAGCTGCGCTCAGCGAAGCAGTTTTTATATTATAGCACTGCCTTCTAAAAATTCTTCCTATATCCCATTCTAGGATTTAGGGCTATGTTACGTTTACTTTGTAATGTCTGTCTGTCCGTTCTTCAAACAAATATTTCTGTCACACTTTTCTCAGATACTGCTGAACAGAATGACTACATATATATTACCAAATGTTTGACAGGGATGATTGGTCATGTGGGACCACTATCAGATATGTCAGACACCTACTTCCTGTTTGCCAAAACTTTAAAATTGAGAATGGAAACAGGGAATGTGTCAAAGAGAAAACAACTTGACTATAGAGCAGAAAACAGCGCAAGGCCACCAATGGGTCTTCAACACAGCGAGAAAATTAAATGTTTCAATATGCTGAATGAAATTGAAAAAAAAATGTGTCTCATTTTTTCGCAGGTACTACTGAACAGAATGACTTGGAGGGGGGCACTTCAATCCTTTTGTTTTTTTTTTTTAATTTTCGACCTTATATTATACCATGAAGCTTGAAAAAGTTATCTATTCCAGCTTCTCATCCCTAAAGCTTATTATATAGTGTTTACTCCCCCACCCCCCCTTTGCAGTCGAATAAGATCTGTTCAGATTATGTACAGACTGTTTAGAAGTTGTTATATACTTGCATACATCAACATCATACTATATCGTCTGAAAAGCTACTAAACAGTAATGAATTGACTGCAAGCAAATTGTCTGAACAGAATTGAATTAACTGCAGTGGATAAGTCTGGAAATCAGCTTAAAGATAGAACATGACTGACTTATTTATTGTTCAGACTTTTCAGATGATATTAAGATTGAAATGACAGTTTTAGACTAATAATCATTGACTAGTGTATTGTCAGCAACTTGGCAGTGCTGAGTTGTAAGTTGTGAGCTCTTTTCTGATCTGTCAGTGTCAGACACCTTCTTCCTGTTTTCCATGTCTCTGAATTTTGAGTGGGTCTTTTGCTTTAGCAGGACGTGTCTTTTTGAATTAACATTGGGTCATTTATTGCAACCAACAATTTGTAATGGCAAACTTTGATAATTCCTAAAATGCCCACTTATTACCTTATACTATTAAATATAAAGTTTGTTTAAATGTATTGCCTTCTGCAATTCTACTAGGTTAAAGGGTTGATCTGGGGAACAATTAATGAGTACATTAATATCATATCTGAATTATCTGGTCACTTAACTATGTATATGATTTGAAGGTTCTTACATTGCCTTTTAAACCAATCATCCAATTAATCATTAAAAAAATGTTATTTCACTGTCAACGAATATTTTTTCTGCCTAACAGAAGTTCCACTGGAAAATTTGTTATAAACAATGTCATAATATCTGTTCCTGTTTCCACAATTTTATTATGGAATACTGCATTTAACTAAATGCAGAGAAATTTTGTTAGGTCTATTGTTGTCAAACCAAACTGGAAAAGACTTTTTTAAAGGTTTCATAATTTATGACTTTAGACATGTGATATCAAGTTTAGGAATTCCTGCCGTACTCTTTATCTTCATATTTTAGATGAGTGGATTGGACGTGTTTGGCAGGAAAACCGATATAAACAGTTAGCAGACAAAGATATTTTATTTTTGAGTAAAGCTATTAATCCTGAATGTTTCAACAGTGTAGCACTCCAATTTGATTTGAATCAGATTGATGTTGCCAAGATACAAACAGAAAATAGAACAGACTTGTGCTATCATATGCTATATAAATGGAAAAATAAGAAAGGCAAGGAGGCAACTCTAGGGAAATTAATACAGAATTTGTTCTCATCCTGGATTTCTGAAAATGGAAGTGTTGGAGAGAAAGAATTAAAATTAGCCATTTTAAAAGTGACAGAGGTTTTCAGTAGAAAAGAATAAGTGGTATGTATCTCCAAACTTGATGTATTTTGATATGAAATAACCATAACTAAATAGAGGAAGCGTTGGTGTAATGATGAGACAGTTTCCTAAACAGCACCAATGTTCACCAGAATTAGAAATCATAAGGTTACCATAGTGCTTTCAATGATGGACAAGTGCCTATACCATGTGACAACTTTGACAATAAAAATTTGTAAATTAATTGGAATAAATTGCTAAAAAAATATTTTATTTTATTTTACATGGCAAAGAATGGACCTTGTTACATAGTAACATAATAATAACTTGAGCTACATTAAACAGATGTAGTGACATCAGATTATATGTCATATCAGTTTTTTTTATAAATAATTATTTACATATTTCTAGCTCAACTCTCAATTCTTTAGATATTGTCATTAAAACTTGCATATCATATGCAACTATTCCAGTCATAATTACGTTCGATAACTCTGCATGTTACTGGTTTAATTAGGATTATATAAAATTATCCTGTTACCCGTGTGATAAGTGTTTAGAAAATTGAAAAATATTTACATTTCACCTCAGTTAACATCCATTTGAGGTTATCTTTTATTGATTTAAAATAAAATCATAAAATAATTTCATAATCAGAATCGGACAAAACTAATCTACATAGGTCTTGTTAAAATTTACACCGTGATAGGGTGCCATGTTTGTTTTCTTTTATCACTTCGTTGTTATGACTTTTTATCTCCGTAATCTAGCTATGGATTAGGGTATTATTGTCGAGCCTGCAACATTTATGTCCTGAAAGCGAGACATAGCAATCCTAGATTCCAGCATCAGTGTCGGCGTCAGCGGTGTCAACATTTAGTCTGTGGTTATAGTTTTTTTAGACATCAGTAACTTTGTCAAACCTTCATGGAATTTTATGAAATTTAGACAGAAGCTTGTTTATGACCAAAAATACAGTATCCAGGCCAAAATTTTGAAAATATTTATTTTCATTTTTCCATATTTTACTTATAAATGTACTTAGTTTTTTTTACAGTTAACATTCAGGCTCAGTCTGAGGTTAAAGTTTTTCAGTCAACAATAACTTTGTCAAACCGTCATGGAATTTTATGAAATTTTGACAGAAGCTTGATAATGACCAAAATACAGTATCCAGAGCAACATTTTGAAAATATTTATTTTCCTTTTTGCTTATTTTACTGATAAATGGACTTAGTGGTTTTTTCCAGTTAACAAGTAGATACAGTCTGTGGCTATAGTTTGTTACACATCAATTACTTTGTCAAACCTTCATAGAATTTTATGAAACTTTGGCAGAAGCTTTTTTATGATTAAGAGATAATGTCTGAAGTAAAATTTTGAAAATATTTTTTTTAATTTTCAGTATTTTTCTGATAAATGGATTCACTTTTTAAGTCAACATTACACTTTAACACTAACAGCAGCAATCACAGGAAGACACAGGGTTCCGCGGAACCCGTTATGAAATTTTTAGACTCACAATTACGTGTCAAATCTAATTGCAATATAAACATTGAAATTAAATTAAATCATTTGCATGGACAAATGTGGAAGATCAACTACATTGGAAAATTAATTGGTCGCCATTTTTTTTCATGACTGAAAACTATATGCATCCAACAGTTATTTGATTTCTATCGTAAATTACAAAATATCTTTTACGAGTCGAGTTACAATGTCAGTGTAAACAGTGCATGATCAATGCATATAAATCTTTATTTTGTGTGGGAGAGAATGTTTCTAATAAATATACTAAAGTGAAGGTGAAATAAGTTCTTTCTCAAAACAATAAGACACACCTAAAATATTTCGAATATAACTTTTTAATTAATAACTTATTGAATACATGTCCTGTCGTTGTTTACTTCTGACAGCGGCCGCCATTTTCAAAAGTTTGCTAACTAATGACAAAATGTGAACTTTCAATCAAATTTTGAAGCAAAAAGTTTGTTACTTAGACTGATTTTGTTTTCAATTTCTTTGAATTAAATGTATTGTCAACCTTTTTAGGGGTTGGGCCGTTATTATTTACAATAAATAATTTGAGAAAATTGATTATTAAAGAAGATCCAAGTGCAATTTTATCGAGTGTTTACGAAGAAGTTAACCAAGGCTGTGTGGTTATGGTACCTCGATTTTCAAACTTAATTTGAAGCAAGAAAATCATATCTCTGAACTGAACTGAACAATTAATTGCCCTCAACGTTTAGCATCTTATATTTGTTACTGGGCATATATGCCCGCCTTAGTAATTTCCTTCAAACATGACCCAAACATTAAGTATTGGTGTTATTTTGTTGATGAAGATATATAATACAGAAAAGAAAACATTTAATTTGTAAATATGAAAAATCTTCAAAACGCAGAGTTCGGTGGTAAAATACACAATGTATCAAATAAAGTTATGATCGTTTAATATATGTAGCATTAATGATAAACAACAACTGAATTGTTAAATTCATGTGATGACTGCGATAGTTGGATATGATATACTTATGAGTAATAGGTTTTTTGTCTGGGAAATGATGCCTAGGGATTTTTCTCATGTATGAATTGTATGAAAAGAATTAAAGGTTCAACTCAATAAAAATTAAAAAATTAAAAAAACTTTGAAGAAATGTATTCAGAAATGTATTATTGTAAACTTGATTGTGTAATTCAAAATATGTTTTATGTCACATATTTATACAAAACAATATGTACTAGGCTTTTTTTATAGCATTTTGTTGCATGTAAATGAAATATTTTACACCTTTGTCGATTTCGGCTATCCTACCAATAATTTTATTATGTTATTTTTGGAACTAACATATATTTTATAGACATTTATAAAATGACAGTGAACATCCAGCTAAAATTACTGAAACTTAAATGATGAATTTTTAACCGGATTTTCGAAGGAAAAATCAGTTATTGATTTGGGGATGTACGGCGGGCGGGTAGCTGCCAAACAGTGTCCGTTCATCAACATGCAAACTCTTTGACGATTTTTTTTTCAAATTTTGATATGTTGTTTCCTGTGACTAAATGAAGGTCAGGTTCAATTTTCACGATTTTATAGCTTCTCTCGTTTTTGAGTTTTCAACTTTTTAGAAGTTCAAATATATTCTTATTATATGATTGAGTTATTTTTCCCTTTGAACAGAAATTGTGATTTGCAAATATCATTTTCATTAGATAATAATCTATTTTTATTAAAGGATATATTTAATTACTTTACATTGTGTAGATAAAATTGTTGACATTGATAGATAAGTTGCAAATCTATATTAGTTTGTGACAAATGAAAGAAAAAATATTGGGAACTATTAATTATATATATAAAGTTTGATTACATTATGTGGTTTGAAATAATTTTCATCTGTTAATAGATAACAAAACATCTGGTACATATCTTATCACACAATTATAATTGGAGTGACAGATTTATTTGAAAATTGTTGATGATAAGATCTGTAAGACAATATAAATCAATTTTGAAATTTACTGTTCATTATTAGACATTTTGAAGATAAGTTTTATAGATTTTTAATAGATATTGTATTCATGATAAATGACATTTTGGATTTTTTTTCATCATTTTACTTTTCTAAATTGTTTGAAGAATTTTGTAGTAGGTTTGTTTGTTATTCTGTATAAACTTAATTTCTGAATGCTATATATATATATTTTTTGATGAAGCAAACTCCTTTAAAAACTAAGCTTAGTTTGTCTTTAAATAAAAATGTATTTAGATTTCTGATTTTGGGCCCAGTTTTCAAGTTGGTCCAATTCGGGGTCCAAAATTATACTGTGTTTGATTTCAACATAAATTGAATATATATAGGGTTCTTTGAAAAGCTGAATCTAAACCTGTATTTATTTTCATGATTAAGTAGATAATACCCCATTGAGGTCCAAAGGGTCCTAAATTAAATTTTTGTTTGATTTCATCAACATTTCAAAAATTGAATTCTTGGGGCTTTTTGATATGCTAATGATAACAATGTTATTAGATTTTGGATATTTGACCATAATAGGTAAATTTCCGATTTCAAATTTTTCAGTTCTTTGACCACATTCATTTTGTGTCACAAACCTATACTGTGTCAAATATTCAATCACAATCCAAATTCAGAGCTGTTTTAAGCTTTAATGTTGTGTCCATACTTGCTCAACTGTTCAGGGTTCGACCTCTGCAGGAAAATCCGGTTTGCTGTCTCTCTGACAGCCTCTTGTTAATTATGGGCGAATCAAACCTTAAAATTTCATGTTATTTTAATGATTCTGTGCAATAACAGGTGCAACAACGTCTTATTCTGTACGAGAGGGGAATACAAATAGTTACCCACAATGAGTAATTGTAAGATTACCAAGTAGAAATTACTTTAAATGAAATTTTGTCCACAAACTGTTGGATCAAGGACAGCCCTTTTAGCTAACCTTGACCCGAAGTGTCAAATGAGCTATTCTCATCACTTGGCGTCTAAAGTCTGACATCAGACGTCAACTTTTACAAAATTGTTCTCTGAAACTACTTGTCCAATCTAATTAAAATTAAATCTCCGCACTTGCTCCTCGTTGTTTATATGTCGCGCGTGGACATATAAACAACGAGGAGCAAGTGCGGAGATTTAATTTTAATTAGATTGCTACTTGTCCACAATCATCATTAGAGTATCTAGTTACACAATTGTGTCCTATGATCATGCCTACCAACCAACATGGGTGACATGGCTAAAAATAGAACATAGGGGTAAAAGTTTTGTCTATTACCTTGAAAACCCCTATAGATAGTGAAAATCTGACGGCCAGAAATGTCCAGAATAATAAGATCTACCTACTGTCTATTTACATAGAAACTGTCCGACGACTTCTTATAGGAGTTATTGGCCTAAAATGAGGAATTTTACCATATTTTTTGTTCATTTTTGCCTATCATCTTCAAAAGTAAAATAGATAGAGAGAAACTTAAAATAGTATGCATGATCATCAAGTCACTGTCAAGATCTACAAACAATTTGACATGGCCGAAATCGTCAGTGGACTCCAAATATTGGAGCTGTTGTCCTTTGATGAAAATTTTTACTGATTTGTTGTGTTTTTGCCAATTGCCTTGAAAATTATAATAGACAGGTAGAAACTCTGAACATCACAAATGATCAACAAGACAAGATCTACAAAAAAATCAATTTGCTAAAATCTTTTATTGACTTCTTAAAGTAGTTATTGGCCCCTAAATGACGATTTTTACCAATTTTGTGCATATTTCACCAAGACTTAAGTTAAAATTGCAACGTTAGTTGTATTTTGAACAACGCTGGAGATCAAGATCAAAATGGAAGTTTGTGTTGATGTTGCTTGCTAGGAATTTAAAGATCAAAATGCTAAAAGTAAGTGTACATAAATCTGTTCATTTTTAGCTCACCTAGCCTAAGGGCCAAATGAGCCCTTCTCATCACTTGGCGTCCGTCGTCCGTCGTCGTCGTCGTCCGTTGTTTATAAAAAATCTTCTCTGAAACTACTGGGCCAAATTTAACCAAACTTGGCCACACTCATCATTGGGGTATCTAGTTTTAAAAATGTGTCCGATGACCCGGCCTGCCAATCAAAATGGCCGACATGGCTAAAAATATAACATAGGGGTAAAATGCAAGTTTGGTCTATTATCTTGAAAACCGCTATGAATTGAGAAAATCTCAGGGGCTAAAATGTTCAGAATGATGAGATCTACATATTGTCTATTTACTTCAAAACTGTCAGACGATTTCTTAGAAACTTAAATAAGCATGATTGATCAGCAAGACGAGATCTACAAATAATAAGTCCCATGGTCGAAATCGTCAGACGACTCTTTATTGGAGTTTATGCCCTTTAATGATGATTTTTATATTTTTTTTGCGTTTTTGCATAATATCTGAAAAACTATTATAGATTGATAGAAACTTAAACAAGCAAAAATGATCAACAAGACAAGATTTCCAAATAAGTTTACAATCTTGAAATCGTCTGACGACCCCTTATTGGAGTTACTGCCCTTTGGTCATGATTTAACCATTTTTTGCGTATTTGCCTAATATCTGAACAACTATAATAGATAAAATAGAGAAATTTAAATTAGCAAAAATGATCAGCAAGACATGATCTACAAATAAGTCAAATAGCCCAAAACATCAGTCGAATCCTTGTAGGAGTAATTGCTCTTTAATGACGATTTTTACCAATATACGTTTTTGACTACTATCTTGAATACTATCAAAGATAAATAGACACTTTAAATAGCAAACATGATCAGCAAGACTAGATCTACAAATAAGTAAAACTTTGCCGAAATTGTTGGTTTAATTAATATAGGAGTGATTACCTTAATTGATATTTTTTTACCAATTTTTGTGTTTTGGGCAAAAACTGAAGAAAATAGAGAGAAACTGTAAACAGAAAAAATTATCAGCAAAACAAGATCAACAAAAAAAAAAGATTTTTGTCATGAATTCTATTTCAGTCCACAATGTTGGAAAGTTTCCATTGTTGAAGATGCTCTTAGGCCTAAGTGAGCGACACAGGCTCTTTAGAGCCTCTAGTTTAATAGTGAAACAGCTGGTTTACTATAATATTTTGGCTTCATCAAATCAAAATGGCTGCCTTTTGAATTAGTCGTATAGGTCCCTTTGAAGTTTTCGTTGGTCACAGCAAACCACAAATTTTAGAGCATAGAGCACGGTATGAAAGAATCATGTCTTAATTTCATTACCGTATTGTTTACATATTTTTTTTATTAATATTGCTATATTATATATATATATATATAACTTTTAGTTGTAATTTTATTTATGTAATATGTATATTATATGCAGCAGTTTTAGAAACTGTTTCAATAGTTGTGCTGAACATGTTACAAGTTATTTCAATTTATTTAAGTATATTGCAATCAATTAGTTATTCCCTTTAATTTCATATTAGCAAGCATTGCAGTAATGAATTATCACTTGTGTTGGAACTTTATAAAACCAGTGTATTGTTTTGTAGATCAGTTTTAGCAGTATTAGTTATGAATTTGAGATTTTTTTTTTAATTAAGTCTCCCAAACAAAGTTTGGAGACATTGTTTTTGCTCAGTTATTAGTCCCCTACCGACGAAGTCGAAGGGGACTTTAGGTTTGCACTCTGTCCGTCCGTCCGTCTGTCCATCCGTCAGTCCGGCAAATCAGCTTTCCACACTTTTTTTCTTCGTTCTTGAAGATATTGATTTGATATTTGGTATATAGTTTTGACATGACAAGTTATAGATCAAGTTCGAATTTTGTGTTCCGGTCTGATGATTTAGTCCAGAGTTATGGACCATAACTTATGTTAGAGTACTTTGTTAAACCATATTTCTGTACAAAGGGAGATAACTCATTTTTTTAAAGACATTCTTTGGTAAATTATTTGAAGAATTTTTTGGCAGGTTTGTTTGTTATTTTGTATAAACTAATATTCTGAATGCTATATATATATATAAAAAAAAAATTATGAAGTGAAATCCCTAAATTAGATAATAATCTATTTTTATTAATGTATATATTACATTACATTGTGTAGATAAAAATTGTTGACATTTTATAGATAAGTTACAAATCTATATTAGTTTGTTACAAATAAAAGAAAAAATATTTGGAACTATTAATTATATTTGATTATAATTTGAAAATAGATATACACTGTATTACATCATATCTAATTTTAGAGAACTATTAATCATATCTAATGTTTAAGTGTTTTCAACACTTTTTTTCATCATGCTTGAAGATATTGATTGATAATTGGTATATAGTCTTATCATGACAAGTTATACAGATCAAGTTCGAAATTTTGTTTCGGTCTGATAATTTTGTGCAGAGTTATGATCCTTGGACTTGAAAAATTCACTCATTTTAATCAGTTTTCCACACTGTTTTTAGTCATGCTTGAAGATATTGACTTGATATTTTCTTTTTGTTTACACCATGACAAGTTATAGACCAAGTTAGCTTTTTGTTCCAGTATAATGAATTTTTACCCGGTAGGGGACTATGTATTGCCATGCAATACTCTCAGAATGCTCGTTATTATAATTATGTCACCCCTATGGTAATAGGGGAGATAAATTGTTATTGTTACGATTTTACATTCCACTTTTTTTGTCCAGCTTAGTTCTCGGAGATGACTTGATACACATTGATAAAAATGCACCATAATGACAATCCAGATGCAGATGTGCACATAGGGTTTGGAATTTTTAAGATGGCCGCCGTTACCATGGAAACGGCAAAAATGTTAAAAACCGAAAAGAGGTCCAAATTTAATGAAACTTTCAGGAAATATAACTCGTCATTCGAGAGTGTGCCATGCATCTTTAGAACTTTCAAAATGACCACCGTTGCCATGGAAACCGTCCAAATGTGAAAAAAAAATTTAAAAATCCTTAATTAATTCATAGTTAATCAACCGTTACAGATACTACCCCAAAACCTACCCCCTTGAATTGAGGGTATGCACTGTACAATTGATTATTGTTGGAATTTTTAAGATTGCTGCTGTTACCATGGAGATAATACTTAAAGTGTAATATTGACCAATATGGGATAAAACGTCAAAGTAACATTTTCTTGCAAATTTTAAGATCAAACTCAGTTAAATGATATTAAAATGTCATCTGTATGATTTTTTGTCGAGCCTGCGACTTTTGTCGCAGAAAGCTCGACATAGGGATAGTGATCCGGCGGCGGCGGCGGCGTTAGCTAACTTCTTAAAAGCTTTATATTTTAGAGGGTGGAAGACCTGGATGCTTCATACTTTGTATATGGATGCCTCATGTTACGAAGTTTCCGTCAGTCACATGTCCAATGTCCTTGACCTCATTTTCATGGTTCACTGACTACTTGAAAAAAAAGTTAAGATTTTTTGTAATGTTAAATTTTCTCTTATTATAAGTAATAGGATAACTATATTTGGTATGTGCGACCTTGCAAGGTCCTCATGCCCGTCAGACAGTTTTCACTTGACCTCAACCTCATTTCATGGATCTGTGAACAAGGTTAAGTTTTCGTGGTCAAGTCCATATCTCAGATACTATAAGCAATAGGTCTAGTATATTCGGTGTATGGAAGGACTGTAAGGTGTACATGTCCAACTGGCAGGTGTCATCTGACCTTGACCTCATTTTCATGGTTCAATGGTTATAGTTAAGTTTTTGTGTTTTGGTCTGTTTTTCTTATACTGTATGCAATAGGTCTACTATATTTGGTGTATGGAAGGATTGTAAGGTGTACATGTCTAGCTGGCAGGTGTCATCTGACCTTGACCTCATTTTCATGGTTCAGTGGTTATAGTTAAGTTTTTGTGTTTTGGTCTGTTTTTCTTATACTGTATGCAATAGGTCTACTATATTTGGTGTATGGAAGGATTGTAAGGTGTACATGTCTAGCTGGTAGGTGTCATCTGACCTTGACCGCATTTTCATGGTTCAGTGGTTATAGTTGAGTTTTTGTGTTTTGGTCTGTTTTTCTTATACTGTATGCA